CCCAGAGTGACTTCTCCCCAAACAGACTTGCTCAGTCCCAATGTCAGTAGGGATTCAGAGCCCAACCTGCAATGGTTCCAGAAAGAGAAGCCAATTACAACTCTCAGTAGGTGGGGGGTGGAGTGGAGGATGGGGGAATAGGGGGATCCCAAAGTACAGGAGGAACCCAGGACCCAGGACAAGGAAGACTCAATTTTGCCCAGGGCAGTCAAAGAAACTCCTGGGCTAGAAACCTGTAAACTAGAAATGGATGGACTTTCAGTTAAACATGCAAATTGGTCACACCCAGTTGTCCCCTCTCTCTCTCTCCTTGGATTTCACTTAGATGGCAGTAAAGGCACTGAAATGGTATAAACCCACAACATCATAGGGAATGGGAGAGGAGGATCAGTGGATTGGAGACCTCAGCAAGTTTATGGACCAGAACAGTTGAATGCAGGTGAGGAAGAAGAGGAAATGACAGCCAGCGAGCGTGAGCAGAGAGAGCCCATTTTCCTAACAGAGTCATATGGAGGCCTGAAGATTGATTACATCAGGACAGATGAGATGAGCTGTGGAAGTAAAAACCAGCCAGTACATGGAACAGTTGCCTCTACATCCATCCCTTGGAAAACAAACAAAAAAGTTATTTAAAGAAATTACAAGGTCCTGGAGAAAACAACCCTCTACGAACATTCTTGCTTATAGAGATTCCTAAGATAATACTCAGCTTGCTACCCCAGAGCCCTAAAATGAAGCTTGCCAGCCCACAACACTTGCCCACATGTACAAAGTTCTCAAAGTTGGCTGCCCCTGTTGCCTCACTTTTAAAATAGGAACTGACAAACAAGGATCTAAGGGAAGCAAACAACAAACAACAGCAACAACCACAAATCCCAGAGAAAACAGATAGTTCAGAAAATAAAAGGGAACTTTAAAAACTGCAAAATTTAAACTCTAGTATCCTAAGAAAAATCCAAAAGAGACCGCATCCATAAAACAAGAATAAGTATCTAGAAAAAGGAACAATTAAAGAACAAGAACACAGAGATTAAAAATACAATTGCAAAAATTAAAATTTTAATTCAAGTGTTAGAAGACAGCGTTGAGAAGTCTCCAGAAAATACGAGAGAGAGATTAAAAAGAGAAGAAAAAAGAGAAGACAAGAAAGATTAAAAGAGAAGACAAAAAATGATGAAGGAAGGAAATAGTAGAAAAGAATTTCACAAAACTTAAGGACACCAGTCTCCTGAGAACCCTGGATGTTCCCAGCAGGTATGAATGAAATAAAGAGCAACATGTGGTGCATCATATTGAAACCAGAACATAGGGGTGCCTGGGTGACTCAGTTGTTAAGCGTCTGCCTTCGGCTCAGGTCATGATCCCAGGGTCCTGAGATCGAGCCCCACATCGGGCTCCCTGCTCTGTGGGAAGCCTGCTTCTCCCTCTCCCACTCCCCCTGCTTGTGTTCCCCTCTCTCGCTGTCTCTCTCTCTGTCAAATAAATAAATAAAATCTTAAAAAAAAAAAAAAAAGAAACCAGAACATAAAGGACATAGAGAAGATCATAAAGTCTTCTAAAAAGAAACAATGAGTCAATTCTAAATAATAACAAATTCTCACTGACAACCTTGGTGCAAGAAGATCATTTGAATTCAGAATTCTATTCTCAGCTAAATTAGCAATCAGGTGTGAATGAAGAATAAAGAAATTTTTAGGCAAAGACTCAGAAAAGGGGATACTCTGTGTATCCCAGTTCTTAAGAAGTTATAAAATAAGGTGCCCCTAAGGTGGAATTTAAGTATAAACGTAACCTTTAGAAAAACGGCATGTGGTGCTGGGACTTTAAAGTTGAACCACATGAAACTGTTGTTTTTTACGTTAAAAATGGTTGAATATCAGAAATTTCATTTGGTTCACCCTAACCCATATAAGCAGAAATATACAATAATCAGAAGATTAAGTTCAATTACAAAAAAAGAAAAATCCTTAACCAAGTTTGAAAAGGTCAAACCTGAAGTTAAATAACGAGATACTGGGACACCTGGGTGGCTCAGTCAGTTAAGTGGCTGCCTTTGGCCCAGGTCATGATCCCAGGGTCCTGGGATTGAGTCCCACATCGAGCTCCCTGCTCGGCAGGAAGCCTGCTTCTCGCTCTTCCACTCCCCCTGCTTGTGTTCCTGCTCTTGCTATCTCTCTCTCTGTCAAATAAATAAATAAAATCTTTAAAAAAAAATAAAAATAAATAAAAAAAGAACCAAACCAAACGAAACCAAACAAATAAACAAAAAAAATCCCACATAAAATAAACTTTAAAAAGAAAATGCTATAGGGATAAAGACTAACACTACATAATATAACTTTTTAAAAAACCTAAAAAACCTCAGAACCTTAAAAAAAACTACATAAATAACCTTATAAAATATTAAATTTACCGGGAATTTTAAATTTCTATTTGGCGGGACGCCTGGGTGGCTCAGTCATTAGGTGTCTGCCTTCAGCTCAGGTCATGATCCCAGGGTCTTGGGATCGAGCCCCTCATCGGGCTCCCTGCTCAGCGGGGAAGCCTGCTTCTCCCTCCCCCACTCCCCCTGTTTGTGTTCCCTCTCTCGCCAACTCTCTCTCTGTCAAATAAATAACATCTTTAAAAAAATAAAATAAAATAAAAAATAAATTTTTATGTGGCTATATAAAATTATATATAATATAATACTTATATATACATTATATATACAATATATATAAACTGATAGACTTTTATAATAGGAACTTAAGAAATTCACAAACTTTTTTCTGTAGGTCAGCAAACTAAAATTTAGTAAGGTTACAGAAGTCTTTTTTTTTTTTTTTTATTTGAGAGAGAGAGAGCACATGAGAGGGGGGAGGGTCAGAGGGAGAAGCAGATTCCCTGCTGAGCGGGGAACCCGATGCGGGACTCGATCCTGGGACTCCAGGATCATGACCTGAGCCGAAGGCAGTCGCTTAACTAACTGAGCCACCCAGGCGCCCCAAGGTTACAGAAGTCTTGAACAACATAGTTAACAAGCTTTATTTATTTGTTTAAAGATTTTATTTATTTATTTATTTATTTATTTATTTATTTATTTATTTGAGAGAGAGAGAGCATGAGCAGGAGGAGGGGCAGAGGGAGACGAAGCAGACTCCCCGCTGAGCAGGGAGCTCAATGCGGGGCTCGATCCCAGGACCCTGAGATCATGACCTGAGCCAAAGGCAGATGCTTAACCGTCTGAGCCACCCAGGTGCCCCGACAAGCTTTATTTAATGGATGTATAATAACCTGAACCCAGTTTATTTATTTATTTTTTATGTAACTTCTACACCCTGCCTAGGGCTCAAACTCAGGACCGGGAGATCAAGAGTGGCACGCTCCACAGGCTCAGCCAGCCAGGCGACCCATGAACCTGATTTAAAAGAGAATTTTTTTCTCAAGCACATAGAGGCATTTACAAAAATTGCCTATGTACTAGGCCATAAAACAAGTCTCAAAAACGTTCAAAGAATTGGGATCATACAGGGGCGGCTCAGTCAGTAGGGCATGCGACTCTTGATCTCAGGTCATGAGTTTGAGCGCCATGTTGAGTGTAAAAACTACTTAAAAATAAAATCTTTAAAAAACAACAACAAAAAAATGGAGACAAAGTATGGGATCATACAGACCACAACTGAGTTAGAAGTCAATACAGGAAAGTTTCTTAAAAATCGGAATAAAAAGCACACTTCTAAATAAGTGAGTTCAAAGGAAAACTCGTGGTGGAAATGAGAAAATACAGAAGGGCCAATATGGAGACCAAACATGAACAGCAATACCCCAGCCTGAAACAGGAGGTGTGGTAGAGCAGTACCTCGGGAAGACGGATATCCTGAAGAAGAGGAACAGACTAAAACTAATGGGCTAAGAATCCCATCTACAAAGTCACGAGGAAGAAACAACTACATAGACTCGAAGGAAACAGAAGGAGAATAAAGATGAAAGCTGCCAGCGAATGCAATGGAAAACAATCATACCAATGAGGGCTGTCCCGAAGCCTAGTCTGTTCTTAGTAAAAGCTAATAAAATAGAAAAAATAGTGCAAGATGGATCAAGTACGAGGAAGATGGGTCTGAACAATAGTGGGGACGAGAAAAGGACAACTGTGGATACAAGAGAGATTTTAAAACAAAATAGAAATAAAAAAACGTGAAAAATGTTAGACAATTTTGAAAACTTAGAGACAACATGAACAATTTCCTAAAAAAATACATAATGTAACAAAAGTGGGAAATAGAAGATTGAATAGATTACCACCAGAAGAAGTGAAATCAGTAGTTAAAAATAAGCCACACAGGGCGCCTGGGTGGCTCAGTTGGTTAAGCGACTGCCTTCGGCTCAGGTCATGATCCTGGAGTCCTGGGATCGAGTCCCGCATCGGGCTCCCTGCTCAGCAGGGAGTCTGCTTCTCCCTCTGACCCTCCTCTCCCTCTCAGGCTCTCTCTCATTCTCTCTCTCGCAAAAAATAAAAATAAAAATAAAAATAAAATAAGCCACACAAATGTACACATACTGTAGGAGCTGGGCTCCAAAGTGGCCCCCACGCAGTTCTTGTTCCTGGGATCCCCGCTCCTGGGACAGGTGTTTCCTGCTCCAAATAGGGCGGACCCACGTAAACCAGGAGGGTGCTGTGCAGAGGAGGAACTGTGACTTCCCAAGCTAAACTAAAAAAGACATTGTGACTTCTGTCCTGATAGCTCTCTCTTGAGGGAAGAGGGATGCCCTGGGGGATACCAGGTCTCGAGACACGCAAGCAGCTCGATGAAGAGGGCCATGTGGCAAAGATCCTGCCAGCGGCCAGCAAAGGACTGCCAACCACGTGAGAAGCAGACCCTCCAGCCCCTGTCAAGATGACTATAGTCCCAGCCAACCTTCAGTGATAACCCATGAGAGATCCAGAGCCACAGCCACCCAATTCAGCTGCTCCCAGATTTCTGACCCTCAGGAACTGTGAGAAAATAAATGGAAGCCTCTGAGGTTTGGGGTATTTTTAATGCGGTGATGATAACTGGTACACACACAATAAAACTAGACAAAGGAGTTCTGGAATACATTCAAGGAAAATGTAATCGTATTCTTTACAAACTGTTCCCAGAGAGACTGTCCCCACGCACTTTATGAGGCTGTGTGATTTGGATTATACTGTCAAAATTAGTCAAAGATATTATTTTTAAAATTTTTTCAAAGGAATCTCATTAATGAACAGATAATAAAAGTTCTAAACAAAACATTAGCAAACTGAATCCAACATGTATTTTTTAAATGTGTGATTAGGCTTGGGTTTACTTGATAGGATTGCAAGAATTAATTTATTTTTCAAAATCTATAAATTTTATTCACCACTTTAACACATTGGAGGAGAAAAATCCTACGAGCATCTGAATAGATGAAAAAAATAAAATTCAACACCTACTCACGATTAAAAAAATGCTTAGTAAACTAGAGCTAGAAAGGTCATATTTATTGATGACGCATTTGAGGTGTTCCATTTGTGATCAGGATGCTTTTAAGGATGCTCACCATGACCATTGCTATTCAACATTGTATTGGAGGTTTTAGCCAATGCTGGTTAGATTTTTTTAAAATAGTAAGATAAGTAAATAAAAGGTGTAACGTTTTAATAGGAAGAAGCAAATTATTGAAATTATTGTTGGATGGAAGATAATTACATAAAGATAGATCACATTTCTATATACTGGTAATAAACCATGAGAAAATGTAATTTTTAAAAAAGATAACATCTACAACAGCCACAATTCAAAAAGGGGGGGAGGAGAGCTAGAAATAAACCTAACAAAATCTGTGCAAAAAAAATTTTTTTTTTAATTTTATTTATTTGACAGAGAGAGAGCACAAAAGCAGGGGGAGTGGCAGGCAGAGACAGAGGGAGAAGCAGGCTTCCCGCTGAGCAGGGAGCCCAGTGCGGTGCTGGATGCCAGGACCCTGAGATCATGACCTGAGCCCAAGGCAGATGTTTAACCGACTGAGCCACCCAGGTGTCCCCTGTGCAATATTCTTATGCAAAAAATTCTGATACCTCATGGAAAGATTAGAAAAGACCTAAATAAATAGAAAGATGAACCATGTTTACAGACAATTGCACTGGGTATTGTAAAGGATGCAAATTTTCCCCCAGAGTGGTTTACAAATTCACTGCAATTCCTATCAGAATTCCAGCAGGTTTCTCCATGGAGCTGGCCATGCTAATCTTAACATGTGTATGGAATTGCAAAGGGTCCAGAATAGATGAGACTTTTTCTGAGGAAGAACAAGGTGGAGTGGTGACCCTGTACCAAGAATTATGAAAGCTACAGTAATGAAGACAGTGAGTATAAGACGCAACAGGCCAGTGGTTTAAGCTACAGAACCCAGAGGCCAACCCGTGCACATAGGGAAATTTGACAAATGACAGAGGGAGCTTTGCAGACCGGGGTGTGGAAAGAATGGGCTAGGTAACAATCAGTCTGGAACAAAGGTGTGCACTTTTGGAAAACATATAGTTGGTTCCCTACATCACACCATATAAAATAACAAATTCCATGTGGGCTAAAGCCCTAAATGTGAAAAATAAAATTTCACAACTTTTTGAAGAAAATATAGGAGACTTCTTTCATGACTTGAGAGTAGGAAGAATTTTTTTTTTTTTTTAAGATTTTATTTATTTGAGAGGGTGCACAAGTAAGGCAGTGGAAGGAGCAGAGGGAGAGGGACAGAGAATCTGAATCAGACTCCGCACTGAGCCTGGAGCCTGACCCTGGGCTCGATCTCACGACCCTGAGACCGTGACCTGAGCCAAAATCCAGGGTGGGACACTTAACCAAGTGAGCCACCCAGGTGCCCCGAGTAGGAAGAATTTCTTAAATGAAATTTTTTTTAAAGCACAAGCCATAAAGTTTTATTGCTAAATTTGACGAGATTAAAATTAAAGCTGCTGTTCCACACAAGACAGCATAAATAAAATGAAATAAGCCACAAACTGAAAAAGGACAGTTCCAAAGAATGCAATTTACAGAGGATTAGTGCCCAGGATATGTAAAGAATTCCTACAAATCAGGGGTGCCTGGGTGGCTCAGTCATTAAGCATCTGCTTTCGGCTTGGGTCTTCATCCCAGGGTCCTGGGATCGAGCCCAGCATCGGGCTCCCTGCTCAGCGGGAGGCCTGCTTCTCCCTCTCCCACTCCCCCTGCTTGTGTTCCCGCTCTCACTGTGTGTCTGTCAAATAAATAAATAAAATCTTTACAAAAAAAAAAAAAAGAATTCCTACAAATCAATAATAATAAAAAAAAGAAAATGCTCTGTTATAAATAGGCCCATGTATATACACAGATAATTTTCAAAAGAAGGAATCTAAAATTTAATTATAGGTTTAAACATTTAAAAATAAGTCCAATAAACATGTAAACATTTAAAAATAAGTTCAACTTCACTAGTTATCAGGGAAATGTAAGATAAAACAACAAGATACCATTTCTTACCTATCAGATTGACAAAAAATTCAAAATTATAATACTATCAAGAGTTCAGAAGGATGTGAAGTAATGGGGAATAAAAAGAATGGGAATACGCATCCTTCAATGAGAGAACAGATAAGTTGTGGAAAATTCACCCAATAGAATATTATGCAGCTATTAAAATGAATGAACTAGAGCTGAATGCTTCATATGGATAGATCTCAAAAACATGTGAGGGGCGCCTGGCTGGCCCAGTCAGAAGAGCATGAGGCTCTTGATCTCGCGGTCGTGAGTTCGAGTCCCACATTGGGTCTAGAGATTAAGTAAATAAACTTAAAAAAAAAAAAGTGAGCCCAGGGGAGAAGTTTGAAGAATGCTACATGGAGAGTCCCATCATTTATAGACAACTTAAAAACTGGCAAAGCATTATTTCAGCTTGTTCAGGGTTGTAGACTTGTGTAGTTAAGAGTCTAAAACACCACTAGGAATGTGAAACACCACAGTTATTAAGTAGTTCACAATCAAAATAATAGCCAGCTTCATTGAGTCCCCTATGCACCAGCCGCTGACTTCACTACTTGGCTTGGGTTATCTCATTTCATCCTCGCAACAACGGTATGCACCACCATCCTCCCCGCTCTCCTGGTGAGGAAACAGGCTTTGAGAGCTGCTCAGTAGCTTGCCCAAGAACACAGTGGTTAGCACTAGAGTCCACATTCCATCAAAAAGTCTGGGTTTTATTCCATCAAAAATGTGGAGCAGTGGAAATAAAGAAGACAAGGTAGGGCCAAGGAGCCTACAGTGCAGGGGGCATATATCAACACACACATACACACACCCCGCCCCCCAAGTGAAGGGTGAGCCAACCACATGGCAGTGAGGAGGGTGCTTAGTGCGAGGTAGCCTGAGAGGGGAGTACACAGCAGGGAACACTTGAGGCTGCCTGGGCCGTCAGGGAAGGCTTTACCAGTTGAACTTGGCTTGGAAGAAGTCCAGGTACAAATGCCAGGAACCCAGGTCTTCCTACTCTGCATCCGATTGGCGTTGTTCAGAGGACCCCCTGCTCTGGACCGTGAGCACGCGAGGCCCGACCATGCAGGGCTGGGACCAACCCCGCTGAAGACAAGCTGATTTCATGTAATCTCCCGTTTGAGAAAGTCTGCTCTCACCTTTACATGCACAGAGGAAAAGCCGACTCAAAGCTCTTCTTTTGCAATCATGACAGCAGGACTAATTGCTTGCTCTTTAATAATAAGAGCTAACATTTATTGAGCACTGACTGTCTGCAAGGCGAAGTCAGCACATGATTTATTGCCCTTAACTCTCACAAAAGCTCTGTGAGAGCAGGTACTATGTGTCCCTTTCCAGGAATGAGGATACCAAGGCTTAAAGAATTTAGGGGTCTGGCCCAAAGCCCTATGCAATTAGTAAGTGGTGGAGCTGGGATTTGACACCACGGCTGTTCTCTCTCCCGCCCACGTTTAAACCACTGCTTCTCGCAGCACAGACATACAATTAAAGCAACAAGTGCTTTATGGCTCTCAGCTGGGAGACTAAATGAGAACATGATGCCACCATAATAAACTGGAAACCAAGCTTATCATTACATTCATGAACCCCTGTCACGTGTTAGGTGCTCCATAAATGCTTTGAAATGAGGTAGCATTTAGCTCCAGGAAATGGAAACCAACCCAGTGTCACAATGACATACTTCACCCATGGAGGTAGCAAGGAGGAACTTACAGAGCACGCACACATGCAGACACAGCTGTCTCTGGCAGGCACACACAGGGACTCCGGGGACCCAACCCCCTATAGGCTCCAACCTTCCCCTGAGCTCCCCCTCCTCCCGCAAGTCTCTGCTTTCCTTCCATCCTCCTGCTCCTTGGCACTCAGCCAGGACCACTGACTCCAGGGGCTTCTGTCACTGGGTGCTGAGCTCCTGGCAGGAAGGCCTTGCGCTCTGCATGTCAGTAGGCCTCCTTCCTCCGCCAAAGAAAGGAAAAAAACCAGCACTCTCCCCAGTAGCCCACAGAGATACATAAAGTGAGAAAAAGATAGGGCGAGGGAAAGAACCGGTAGAGTTCTGCTTTTCTAAAGTAGATAAAGAGAACAATCCATCCTGCCCCCCAGGGAAAAGCCACCATCACTGGGATCCGGCGAGTTCATTTTATCCATTCATTTCATAAACATTTACCAGACACCCTGTGCAGTAGACAGGCCCTGGCGTGGAGCTGGCGGGCTCTTCTGCACCCTTCCTCCACCGGCAGGAGACCCCTCTCTGCCCTGGGGAAAGTGCAGCCCACGGTGGCCCAGACACAATCCATGGCCCCTGGGGCACGCCGTGTAGGGGTACACAAAGGCCAAGCAGACACACACAGTTTACAAGTGTAAAAACTCCTTCTGTGGAGAGGGAGGGAGGAGGAGGTACTCTCAGAGGTGGGATTGGGGGGAGAGAGGGAGGGAAGGAGGGGAGGGGAGGGGAGGGAGAAGGGAGAGGACGACAGCGGCAGCCTGGCTCGATTCTCCCCCAGAGCCACCTCTGACAATACTCTGGCCACGTTTTAATTAGTTGCAAGGTTTTCCCACTGACTCAAACAAGAGCTCTCTCTCTCTCTCTGATTAATCTTCGAAAGAGCCGGCCGAGTTTAATCATAGCAAACACGATGATCCCCGTTATGACGGCCTGGGTAGCTAAAAGCAGAAAATAAAGCCCCCAGAACAGGCTGTGGTCTTGGCGTTGGCCCCGGGCCACCAGCTGCGCGCGGCCCCAGGGCTCCGAGCCGTCGGGCACCCAGGCGGTGTGGACGGGGGCCGCGGGCAGGGTCGCCCGGGTGGGGGCTGGGGCGGGGCGGGGAGGCGGGCCGCGGGTGCCCGGGCACTGCGGGTCTTCGTGCGGCAAGGCCCAGAGCGGCAGGCCGGCGCGGGGTCCGGGCCCGCCGCACCGCGGGGGCTCGGCTCGGCCCACGAGGCCCGGGTGCCGCCGCAGCCACGCCAGGAAGGGCCGCAGGCCGCAGTCGCAGCGCCAGGGATTGTGCCCCAGCAGGACCTCCGCCAGCCGGGGCAGATCCGCAAACGCGTCGCCGGGCAGGGCCTCCAGCTGGTTGTGCTCGAGCTCGACACGCTCCAGGCTGCGGAGGTGGCGGAAGAGCGCGCGCGGCAGGGCCCGCAGCCGGTTGTGGCGCAGCGAGACGCGGCGCAGCCCGTCGAGGCCGCGCAGCAAGGCGCCGGGGAGCGCGGCCAGGCCGTTGGAGTGCAGGGCGAGCACCTGGAGCGCGGCCAGGCCCCGGAAGGCGTCCTCGGGGAGCGCGCTCAGACGCGGGCTCAGGGTCAGGCCGAACTCCCGCAGGCCGCTCAGGGCGCGGAAGGCGGCGGCGGGCAGGGTGCGCAGCCGGGTGCGGTTCAGCCACAGCTCCCGCAGGCCGGCCAGCTCCCCGAAGAGCACCTCCGGCAGCTCTTCCAGCGGGTTCTCGAACAGCGTCAGGAATGTCAAATTGTGCGAATAAAGAAAGAGTGCGGAGGGCAGAAACTCCAGGTGGTTTCTGGAGAGAGTCAAGTAGCTCAGGCTCCGGAGCGGGTCGAAGGCTCCCGGTGCGATGGAACGGATGTGATTTCGGTCCAGCTGCAGCTCCTTCAGGGCGCCCAGGCGACTCAGCAGCCCCGCATCCAGAGAGACGAGCTGGTTCGAGTGGAGCACGAGCTTCTCAAGCTTAGCCTGTGCCCCGAGCAATCCCTGGGGCAGGTGGGTCAGATTGTTTCCCGACAAATCCAGCAGTTTCAGGTTCCCCAGATTTGTGAAGAGGCGAGCGGGAAGGAAAGCGAGCTGGTTTTGGTTCAAAAAGAGCTCCTGCAGGTTAACCAGTTTCTGAAACATGTTTTGGTCGATGTCCTTCAGTTCGTTGCGGTCCAGAAACAACTGTTCCAGGAGCACCATCTTATCCAACAGCGCGGCCGGCAGATGCGTGATCTTGTTGCGCGACAGCCTCAGGGTTTTAAGTTTTATCAGGTCGTGGAAGGTGCCGGGGGCAATGGCGACAATGTGGCTGTCGGACAGCATCAGGCGCTGCAGGACCGTCATGCCGCTGAAGCTGTGGTTCTGCAAGGCGCCGTGGCCCATTCGGAAGAGCAGGATGTGCGTGAGGTTGGCGGGCAGGCCGAGCTCGGCGAGGCGCGCCACGTCGCCCCCGGAGCACTGCGCGGCGTCCCGGAACACACACTTGCAGGCGGGGGGGCAGGGGAAAGGCTGGGCGCGCAGGAGCCCCAGCGCCGCGCACAGCAGGGTGCTCCTCAGCATGTCTGAAAAGGCAACAGCGGGAGGTCTGTAGGCGCCACGCCAGGGCGAACGCTCGGATTCGATCTGGTAACCCTGCAGAGGCCAGAGCCTTTCGCCAGGATTATCAAGGACTTTGACTATTATCCCTCTTTTCCCAGGAGTGCAGATTGCCCCCGGTGGTGAAAAGACATTGGTTCTACACTTAGAGGTCTCATTCTTTTGTTCTACTGATTTTCTACTCAGGTTAAAGCACTGAAATTAAAGCGTCTTCAAGCTATAGTTAAAAGCCAGTACTTTAGGGACACCGGGGTGGCTCAGTCGGTTAAGCGTCTGCCTTCGGCTCAGGTCATGATCCCAGGGTCCTGGGATCGAGTCCCGCATCGGGCTCTCTGCTCCGCGGGGAGCCTGATTCTCCCTCTGCCTCTGTCTCTCATGAATAAATAAATCTTAAAAAAAAAAAAAAGCCAGTATTTTAAAATCTTTACATACAACTAATGAAAACAATCATTCGAGCATAGAAGCTCACAGACCTCACTGAGCAGTGCCCACGGTGAGGGGAGCCCTGCTCTTCTTGCCTCTGCCCAGCGGTGGCTATAACCAACAGTCAGGACGTTAACAGCAAAGTCTGGAAAAACAACAGCAACCACCACCTGATTCCTTTCACCACAATCATGCTATAGGCACAGTACTTACTCTACAAAAACAGTAACACCCTCAAAGAGCGAACCCCTTCTGTTAGCCACAGTGAGAAAAGCAGGGAATACCTATCACTTTTTGCCATTTGTTGTTCTCAGCGTTTTATTTACATTAATTCATTCAATCTTTTACAATAACCCTATGAGGTAGATCCTATTCTTAACCCGGGTTAATGGATGATGAAACTAAGGCACAGAAAGAGTAAGTAACTTAACCACGGCCACAGAGCTAGAATTTGAGAATAGTATTTCTGATTGTGTCATAAATAAGGAGCTATCATTTCTAAGACGCTTAACAAAAAATAACTCGTGGCATTGAATTACATATGAAATATACACAGTAATGCTAATCTGCCAAAACAAGGTTTCCCAAGTGTAATTTTACACAAATCATTTCTTGTACAAAATTTTATTATGTATGCACATACAGACTAACCAAGCTCTCAGTTGCCCATAGTAATTTTTAAAGTATTTGACCTTACCTGAAATGGTGCTGTACCCGAAAGCAACTGAACAGCTCAGGGCTTCGCGGGTGATTCAGCACTTTCTAAAGGAAGAGGGAAATGTCCTTGCATCCTGAGGATAAAGACTTTACCAGAATAAAAGTCATGGAAAGGACCCTATCTCAGAGGACATATTCTGGTTTTTAATGAAAGAAAGCTTCAAAGTGAAAAAGAGGCCCTCTGTAACTTAAATCCTACTGTCCAAGCTGAATGATAAGAGAAGAGAGAGAAGTTTCTCCATAAAATGGCACACTATGACTGTGATGCCAGGATAACTTAGTGACAGTTGGATCACTGTGGCAGCCATACCCCCAGATGGACCACATTTCCTTCGAGTCTTCCTTCTCCCACCACATTGCCCCAATTCTCTATTCCAGTTCCCCTTCCCCCTTTGAGGAATAACAAGGCTAAAAACGTTCTCGAATATGTCCGGAAATGGCACCACAGGGTTGAAGGGTGTTAGGAAATGTCCCGCGGCTTTCCAAAGTAGCTGTACCAATGTATGGCGCCACCTACAGTGGATGACAGTTCCTGCGCCTCACAGCTCTGCCCATACTTGGAATTGATTTTTTAAATTTAATTTTTACCATTCACATGAAGTCATTTTGTCAGTGTGGTTTTTTCATTTCCCCCATTTCATGAACTTGAGCATCTTTTCGTTATTTTTAATGCCCACTTCTGCTTCATCTTCTCAGAAATGTTGGCTTCTTTTGCTCATTTTCCTATATGCAAAATATGTATGTCTTTTAAAAAACAACTGTAGGCATTCTTTATGTATTCTGGATGCTAATCCTTTGTCAGTTATAGGTGTCAAATATCTTCAACTAGTTTGTGGTTTGCCTTTTCATCTTCTTCATGATGTCTTTTGATGGACATAAGTCTTAATATAGTTATCAATCTTCTACGATTTGTGTTTTTTGTATCGAAATAAATCCTCCTCTCCTCCCGGGTAAAAAGAAAAAAGTTCTCCTATAATGCCTTACTGAGTTTTATAGTTTTGTCCTTTGTTTTTAGGTCCTTTAATCCATATTGAACTGATATTTGTGTATGATGTGTGTGAGTAGAGTCCAATTTTATTTTTTTCCATTAAGATCACCAGCTGTCTTAGCCCCATTTATATATATATATAATCAAATCCCTTCTTCCTGCAGAGCTAAAATGTCAGCACAGTCATGAGCCAACATCTCATGAATGTGTGGGTCTGTTTCCAGGCTATTTGATAATCCCCGCACCAAGACCATACTGAAATAACCTTTTAATGTTTAAAGCCTGAAAATACCCAGCACTTTAAGAAGTGTGAAGAAACATTTTCATACTACAATGGTGGACTATACATTGGAGCAAACTTGTGGGGGAAAATTTAGCAGCATCAACCAAATTAAAAATACACATATCCTTTGTCCAGCAGGTCCACTGCTAAAAATGCATCCTATGTCTAAGCTCATTAACATTTGTTCACAAAATGGGGCACCTGGGGATTCAGTCAGTAGAGCACCCAACTCTTGATCTCAGGGTTAGGAGTTCAAGCCCATTAGGTGTGGAGCGTACTTAAAAATAACCGTGCACAAAAACACTGCAGGGTTGTGTGTAGTAGAAAAGAAAAAAGAACAAGAAAACCAAAATGGCCATCAACAGGGAAGTTGTCATCGAAATTATGAAACATTTATGCAGTGGGATGGCTTGTGGACTTTAAAAAGAATGAATGAGCTACAGATGCTGACATCTTCGATTCAGACTGATGTAAAACAAGGACAGCAGAGCATACATATATGATGGGATTCTATTTGTGTAGATTTTAAATCAGAGGAAGACTTCATGTCAGATTCTTGTACGCTCCTGTGGCCTATTTCCCCAGGAAGCACTCCGATCAGAAGGACCTCCAACTTTTATTCTTTGAAAAGAGCAGGACATTCTGAATGCCCAGAAGGGTATGGAACTTGCAGTCAGTAGAGGAACACCGTTGAGTCCATTTGCTGAAAAACTGGATGAGGTGTTGAGAAGTATTTTGAATGCAGTCGATGGCTCCCGTGTTTTTGTGTCCTTTGAATTTTGGATTCACGTAGCAGGTTAGAAATCTGCTATGCTAAGAGGCAACTTCTGTATAAAAGTCACCCCGGCTTCTGAGGTTTGGCCTTTCTCAAAGCAGAGCTGAGTGCCTGGATGAGACATGCTTTTCTCTTCAGTGAGGGGGAGACTCCGAGGCCAGGGCACTGGAGGGACCTCTGTGCACTCACAGAGCAGTCACAACTCCAACTCTGAACGGTGACAGTCTCATCCAAACTCCTCCAACTCCATCCTTCCCTGCAATACATACTCGAAACACCGCACCTGGCAGTGACATGCGGGGGAGAGAGAGACACGCAGAACTGTGCCCCCGCCACTTCTGTTACACAAACCTCTGTGAATGGGAAGAACTTGGGACTCTAACACCACCCAATCCATCCCACCACAGCCAGCCACATAGGCCACAGCAGAGGAAGCACGCCTCCTGTAGGACCCATGATACCCAGAAGGACCTCTCACCCCGGCACAAAGGCAACACAAAGTCCTGCCTTCTCCGGGGTTTCTAGGACCAGTGGTTAGTTCCAGTTTTTCTCTCCTTGGGAGTGCTCCTTTTGCACCCACGGCTGCCACTTCACTTCAAACTTACAATGTGTTACATGGCATTAGCTCTGCGTTTGATCTTCCCAACTGTTAGTAGATTATAAGCCTCTAGTCTTAACATTTCACAATTTCCCTTAGACCTCCTTACACTTAACATTTGGCTCTACAGGGTATCTGACTAATGAACGGGTTTCCATGGGATGGTCACACATAGATGTGATATCTATGTGGGATGTGGTATTTATTCCCTTCAAAAACCCAAAGTTAAAAAAAGGAAGTGCAAAGTTATGAAGTAGAAAAATAAATCCAGAAGGGCAGTATTTGGCCAAAAGGCAAATAATGTATAAGGACACAGAAAAAAAATGTTATTTCATTCATTTAAATTTTTATTTTGAATAGCTTCAATCCAAAAAAAGATTTCATAAGGTTATTTACAGTGCTGAATGTACAATTATGAATGTATGCCTTTTTGACATCAGGGTACCATTCTTGAGCAGCAATACATTTTAAAAAATATAAAGATGCAGTATCATTTCTGATATAAAGTTACTTAAAAAAAATCCAAAGTCTTAGGGAATTCACAAATCATAACAGGAAGTAACTATCTTATTAATTTAATGTGCACATAATTACCAGATTTTATTACATTAAAAATATGTGTAAATGCCCACAGACTGTACAAAAATTAACATCCCACATTTTGTCAAAAGTTCCCAACCACCTCCCACCATAAATATACAAAAACCTATTTTCAGATATGTCAAAACCGCATGCGTGAGATCTTAGAATGTTTTCTAAAGCTTGAATTTTGCTCTTTTCTGGATATTGTATCTATAGCCATTTGGGGAACAGACTACATAAACACTGATATGTTATTTACCATGCCTCTGAAACTGCAGTTATCTTCACAAACATGGGAGACAAAAGAAATACAGTTAAGACTGCAACAGTTCTGTTTAAATGCAAGTGCAATTTGGAAAGCTCTCCAATGTAAGAATTATAAAACTAATATAAAAAGTATTTCTTTTGTTGTTGGCTTAGCCACTTTTATTCAAGCATTATTTGCAGCATTGCTTTACAGCAGTTGGTGCTAGAAGATACAAAACATATAGTTACCACTATTTATATTTGAGGGAGAAAAAAAACTTTAAACAACCCTGAGGGAGACACACATTAAAAATCTTGTTATTTATTTAAAAAGTTAAAAAGTTACATATCATT